GTCCGCAGCAATTTGTCCGCAACTTTCAACTCGGGAACCACAAGAGCTAGGAAGCTGAAAATTTAGAGGGACATCCCCCACCCACGTGCGACTCCGCAGATTTAAATTCAGCCTCCCCGTACCCACGGGTAATAAGTACGGTCCCGTAAATGTTTTGGCGGACAAAAATTATCACAGGAACCACGGGAGCTACAAGGCTAAAATTTTGTGGGCATGTCCGCTGCCCGTATGTTACCCAGAAAATTTAAAATCAGCTTTCTCCTGCCCACGGGTAGCACGAACGGTTTCATGAAAATTTTGGCGGGTAAATTGTTATCTCGGAACCATGGAATCCAGGAAGCTGGAATTTTAGGGTAGTGACCCCCTGCCCACGTACGATCTTGCAAATTCGAATTCAACGTTCCCATGCGCTCAGTTGTCACATACGGCTCCGTGAAAGCTTCGGCGGGGAAATTATCGTTTCGGGGACCGCGAAAATTGGGAATCTGGAATTTTAGAGTGACCTCCTCTATCAACGTACGATCTCGCAAATTTGCCTTTACGCTCTCCTGAGTACCACATACGGCCTTGTGAAAGTTTTGATAGAGGAATTATTATCTTGTGTGCGTGAAATTTTTTGTGGAAAATTCCGCAATTTAAGAACTAGGCAAAACTTCAACTATTTTTGCACAGACCAAAGTGCAAAGCAGTGAAAATCACTGACAGGCAATGATTCGGTGGACAAAACCGGTTGCTCTAGTGCGCTTTCTTTTTTTTGAGGAAATGGGCTAGTTGCAAGAAATAAAGCCATTCAGCACTGCGCAACGCGGGACACCCCTGTGACAGTGTTTTAATCGTATTAAGATTCTCAGAATTGGTTTTCGAAAAAGCATTAAAGCTTTTCATCCTGAATCTAATCTGCCGTGTATGTGATTGGTAAAATGAAATGCCGAGAAACAAAAAATATAACAAACTGAGTCGAGAAGAAAGAAATTTTTCACACTAAGAAGCTTTTAAGCTTTGAAATGTTGAATGGCCCTGAAAATCAAAAGAAATCGAATTCAGTAAACTTGTATTGAATACCGAATTTTAACTTAAGATAAACTAGCAGTCAAAAGCAAGAAGATGATGCTGTTGTTGTATCTGAAAGACGTCCAACTCTGGAAAAGCGCGTAATTTTATCAGAAGATGCTCCAGTTTGGTCTCAGAATTTTTTTATTGATGGTGAGTTCTCAGATCTCTTCACCGATGAAGTATTTCAGTCACTGGATGATCGCACAAAGCAAGCATGTCTTCTGAGGGAGTTGGAAGCTATTGACAAGAAGATTGAAAATCTTAGCGTTTCAGCTGAGTCTATCGCTTCACCGGAACGTAAATAACATTGCTGCACCGCTGTTCTTCTCCAGGGTGTGTACTTTTGTGCTATTAATTTTGAAGAATTAGCTGTTTCAGGATTTTGTTAAATGTGGGTGGCAGTATGAATGGAATAGTGGTGCGTCCCGTATGCCTGATGTGTATAACTTTTTTTTGAGCTACTTCAAAACTTTGACTACAAGATGGTTGGTGAATTCTGATGAAACTGTGCACTGCACAAGTGGATGCCCGTTCTTTTTCCAGCACTCTAGCACTTTAGTCAGCGGTTGTTCCACTTTTTTGTTTCGCTATCGATGCAGCCGCACCCTCCCCCAGTTATTTGAGTTTTTTTTTTTCCAAATTTTGCAAGGATATCCAATATTCACGTGTTGTCATAATTCAGCTTAGAAGTGAAATTCCATGCACGCAAACATGACAAATACTCAGTTTTATCGCAAGCTCAAAAGCTGGTGCATTTTGCAGATTTCATTGTCTTCTTCCGAATTCCTTCAAATTTGCACTTTTTCAGTGAACGGGCATTCACGGGGAAAACTACCGGACTTCATGCGAAAAACTGACAATTATGCACGCTGGAATTCCATGCGAGCTCATAATGCAGCATCATCCCAGCCGACGCCCTTTCTCCCTGCATGCGGGAAGAGGTCAAAACACAGCCTGTATGAGTCTAGGTGATAAAGTACAGCACAGAGCTATTCCTGCTGTTAGCGATCTGCAAGCTTAGCGCAAAAATGCATAATCGCACCGGCAAGCCTGGTGTGTTGCAGCTTGGGTTAGCATATATTGCTATATGTAATTTACTTACGTTAGGCCGTGGGCTGTCTTTATTTAAAGAAAGTGGCGCCTTGCCGTCGCACAATGCAGCGACTTGTTATTGATAGTTAATACATATATGCAAACTGTAAGTAATCGGGAAAAATTTAGTGTTTTTAGGAAGCGCCAGTGCTTTGTTGCGGAGAACTTGTTGCCTATAACTTTGGATGGAGCTGTAGGAGCTCGTAAAAATTCAGCATTTTCGAAGAATTTTATCATATTGTGAATTTGCATTTTTGATCTAGCCAGTTTTCATCTTTCTTTTTTTCATACCTGCTATCTTCAGGTCTGTTTTTTTTTGCCTTACAATGTTTTGTAATTTAAAAAATTTTCGTCCTGTAGGCATTACAAACAGTAAGCTTGCTTACAACGCACTGCTGCTAGGCATTGATTGTTCCCCACCAATTATTGCTACGCTGCTTTAT